TCTCTCTCTCTCTCTCTCTCTCTCTCTCTCTCACACACACACACACACACACACACACACACACACTCCTTGGCATACATCAGTGGTAGAGCTCTTGCCTAGCATGTGTGAGGACCTGGGCCCCATCCCCAGCACTGAAAAAACAAAACAAAACAAAAACCTACAATCACTGTATGGAGTCAGTCAGAGCTGGTTACAAAAGGGGGTCCCTCAGCTTAGTCAATATTATAATGACAATAGCTTGGTTGCAAAACATTCACCAGAACATCCACAGGCCTCTGACTTGAAAACTTGCAACTGCAGTATTCCATGACAAAATCCTGTATGTGTGGGTTTGTTATTAACTCTAGGTTTGAATTAGAATTCCCTATCTTACAGCTTGGAGCTAAACTCTGTTTACAAAACAGTATTTACACTTGACTAATTTTGCAGATCAAACTAATTAAATCAATTAAACTGGTGATTAACCAAATGAAGGCTGATTGCAAAAATTAGTGGGTTTATTTTGGAGGACTGGAAGTAAGCTAATTACTGCAGTGATTACTTGAACCTGGAGTACTCTAAATATGGTATAAATTGAAACCTCATAGTGAATTAGACTGGGAATTCATTACAGTTTAAAGCACTGTTAATACTATTCAGTCTGTTCCTCCTTGGGGAAAATTCCCTCTCTCTGTGTTTTGTGTACTGATAAACAATCATTTGGATCATGTGCTTTTTGCAATATAACCCAATAAAATGAAGGACACTGAAGAAAAGTTACTTTCAGAGTGATACACATCAGCGCCTGTCCACATTTAATGTACATACGAAACACCTGAGGATACTGCTGAAAGGCAAGTTTTGATTCGGTTTTTTGTGTGGATGGTGGTTGGGGCAGAGTGGGGACATGGGGGGACGGGATGGGTATGTGTGTATTCATGCACAGGTGTGTGCAAGTGCATATGATAATGCACAGGTGCCAAGAGTCTGCCTCTCTTTCAAGATCCCAGGTGGCGTTGATGCTGCTCGGTTTTGAACCATCCTCTAAGCAACAAGAACATACACTGAAGCAAATAGCTAAATTATTAGAATTTGATTTTGATGCTTCAAAATGGGATAGAGACCAAGTTATCACCATAGTCCCCTATTAGGAAATTTGACCCACTTTTGCCAGAGATGGGTAAGCAGGCAGCCTCAGCATTGGCAGATTTCAGTAACGACTACTACTACTGGATCCTCAGTGTTTTTTTTTTTTTTTTTTTCTGTCTTCTCAGGCAGGTATGTTAGCAAGAGTATTTATGTCCATACATAATGCATTCTACTAATTGGTTTTTAAAGCATATCATTTTAACAAAATGTGAATGCAGCTGAGCATGTGGCCTGCATTTTGCTGATTTAAATATCACTGAGCTTTCGGTTCTCTGTTTTGCTTTAGTTTTAGATTTATAAGATGGTATTTACAATAATAGAAGGAAGACATTGGGTTCTGTTCAAAGATATGGTGAAGTCTCAGAAAGAGATGTGGCCTTTATGCACATTCTTAAAGGGGAGCAAGCAGCTTCCTTTTGTAGATACACAGGAGGCAAGATGTGTCTTGATTTTCGGTGTCACATCATCTTCTGAAAGGATTAATTTTCCCAGTTCATCAATGAACCTGTCTTGACATTTGGTTTCTTTCATATTGCAGGTTCATGGCAAGAAACACCTTATCCCTACAGGAAATCCCACAACCTTTAGCAATGACTATTCATTGCCGTTTGGTAAGTAGAACCCCCCGTGTGCCGGGGCAAGAAAGTGCAAATTTGAACAAATTAAGACCACAGACTGTGTTTTTAATAAGGACAGAGCTCTCAGAAAAAGGAGGCACATGTGAAGAGTTCCCATCTGTGTAACAACAACACTTGCAGGGCTACAAGAATCAGGTTTGTGTTAAGAACAGATTGCTCAGGGCTTTGATAAGTTGTCTGATGTTAATCAGAAACACTTTGGGTTGCAATTCTTGTTGAAATGCTTCCTCGATTATTTTGGATGTTACAGTCTTGTCGAAGTACTTGAATTTTTCCTTCGTGCTTGCAAACATTTAGCAAACTGCCAGCTCCCAAGTTGGAATGTGAATAACTATCCCAGAAGCTGTTGGTGGAGATGCAGAAAATGCAAGAGGTGGAACTGAGACTTTATGGATCCCAGAGAAGTGACTTTAAAAAAAATAATAGGCACTTAGGAGAAGCTGATATGATGGCCCTCTTTATTCTAAAATTAAAAGTAGTAAAAAAATAAATAAAAATGACAGGCAGGGACTTTTAGTTGAGTGAGGTTTTATGATAGCAAGCTGAGTAGATTTTGTCAAGTTGATTTAGTTGAAGAAATTTGGTACAAAAATTGATTTTTACCTTATTAAACAAACATCATCAAACTATTTCTATTAATTTACCAATTGATCATCTGAAGAATTTCTTACAAAAAACAAAAAACAAATGACCAAATAATCAACTGAGAGACTGTGTGCATGTGACAGTTGCCTTGGTGAACTCACCATTTTCCAGGGTTGCAGGTTTAGGTTTTTGTCCTCTGACTAAACTGGATCTATCTCTTAGGGGGGCAGATAACAGCGACTAAAGTATATATTATGGCATCCAGGTGTACCTATGGATAAGTAAGTCTCTAGATACCTACACAGTATCTGTTACAGAACCCAGAAGTTGGTTCATTGTTTTCCAATGAGAAGTAGACCTATCTAGAGGTCAGAATGCTCACCTGGACCTGCCCAATGCATTAATTTCCTGTCTAACGGAGCTAACAGAGGGCCAATTATCAGATGCTCATAGACATTAGGGAAAGCTTCTCTGCTGAACTAGTCTGATGCACTCTTACCTTAGTAAGGATCGCCTGACCAAAGAAGGATACCTTAAGAGGCCCATGGATGGGTATTGATGATGACTACCAGGATCCTTTTTTTAAAAAAAATTAATTAATTTCTTTTAATTAGGTATATATGACAGCAGAATACATTTTGATTCATTGTACACAATTGCAGCACAACTTTTCATTTCTCTTGTTGTACATGATGTAGTGTCACACTATATGTGCAGTCATACATGTACCTAGGGTAATGGTTTCCATCTCATTCCACCATCTTTCCTGCCTCCATCCCCACTCCCCACCCCTTCTTCCCCTTTGTCCAATCAAAGTTCTTCCATCCTCCTCCCACATTATGGATCAGCATCCACTCATCAGAGAGAATATTTGACCTTTGGTTTGGGGGATTGGCTTACTTCGCTTAGCATGATATTCTCCAACTCCATGCATTTACCTGCAAATGTCATAATTTTATTCTCTTTTAATGCTGAGTAATATTCCATTGTGTATATATGCCACAGCTTTTTTATTTAGTTGTAGGTGAACACAATACCTCTATTTTATTTTTATGTGGTACTGAGGATCGAACCCAGTGCCCCCCACACGCTAGGCCAGCGCTCTACCTTTGAGCCACAACCCCAGCCCCTATAACACAGTTTCTTTATCCATTCATCTATTGGAGGGCATCTAGGTTACTTCCACAGTTTAGCTATTGTGAATTGAACTGCTATAAACTTTTGAAATCTTCAATGCTTCTTCTCAACCCCTTTCCATATACCTCTTTCTCTTAACAGGATGCAATTATATTGATTGAGTTATGGCTTATAAATTATAACCCCATCCCAAATCCATCTTTCAAAAGTACAATCCAGGTCACCTTGACAGGGCTTTGGATCTTCTTAAACTCAGTCTCCTTATTTACTCCCATGGCTGGTCATACATGGTGTTATGGACTTTGTTTACCTAACTGCCCATCTCTGATTATGATTACATGAGAAAAGTGCTTTTTATGATTCACATGTAAAGTTGGAGGAGGAGAAATTTTTCCTAGAGTGACTTTATCTCCCCTATTCTATCTCCAAGATACCCTATAAGGTATTAGAAGCACTGCTTTTTTTAAAAGGCAGCCCAGAACTTTTGCTTTTATGTTTGCATTGGCTGAGCATTAGGACTTTTATCTTGCTAACTGATTCCTTATATTATTCAGGTGAGTAAGTGGTTAAATAAATGAATCAAGGACTTGGATACACAAACTGTATTAGAATTCTTTTAGGTACTATCAGCTAAGATGGCCCTTCCTCAGAGGTTTCTCTTCTTGATCACAGTTCCCAGGAATGTTTTCTCTTGAAAGCTGATGGACTGAGCCTCTGTTCCCACATCTATCTTCTGTGGCAAAGAATTCAGGTAAAAAATAAATTTGTTCGGTTTAGATGTAAACTCTCACCTCTCCTGCCCCAGTTTGAAATTAACAAAGCCTACTTAAGATTTCAACCAGGTCACTCTTCAACACCTCTGCATTTTTGCTGGGTGCACCATTCAAAATGCTAAGCCAATTTGCATTTGATTACTTGACTACTTCAGAAAGTCATCCAGGAATTAAATTACAGTATGGGAAATAAATACAAACTAGGTAAATAGCACAAGATAAATTACAATATAGGGACACATGGACATACCCACTGGAAGAATAGCAAACATGCAACCAGTTAAGAAATGTGTAGGAATTTACAGGGAAAATATTTAATATTAGGAGTGCAGTCCCACTTAACCTGGCCATTGGGAAGATTCTTTTCTGAGTGTTCTTCGGGGGTCTGACTTACATAGGGTAGTCAGTCAATGAACTCAACTTGTAGGCAAAGTGATTATTTTGTCCTTTACTGTTTGCATGATTTCAGATGTGAAAAGTAGCAGAGAGAATTTCTCTTTCCTTGAGACCCTGAGGAAACTGATCATGACATTTGGAAAAGTTTCACAAAGAAGCTTTGGCCCAGGTACATTCAAGCAATAGTCTGGAACATCTTATGTGTGAGGCATCAGTTATCTTGTGGGGTGCTGGGGAGTTATGATAATAGTGACTCCAAGATTTTGCACCTGGAGAACTGTGATGGGTGAGATGCTGCTGAGGGAAATGGACTTACAAGGAGGTGCCCTGTTTTAGATAAGCTGGGATGTTGGGATGTTGAATTTCAGATGTTCAGGACAGGGCTGTAAAGATGTTTTATGCAACGGGGTCATATCAAGCTGTCTGAATTCTATGTAGTACTCCAACTGCATTTAACAAGTTTTCATCACATTATAACTAGACCATTATTAACAGGTAAGCCTTTTAATTCAGAAATTCATGATAGCTACATACTAATAGAATGATAGAAATGAGGGGGCTGCTTTCCAAGAGGAAACTGGAAAGGAAACACTTTGCCTGACCTTTGCCTGAGCCAATCGTAAGTACAATATTGGAAAAGACCAAACCCAGAGGAAGTAGCACTGGCTTGGAAAAAGAGAGGTGAACCCTGTTTCTGACCAGTAATGTCCTTAGGTGAGGAGCTGACCTCTCTCCACCTTCTGCCCTTTGTGCAGCGCATGCACGTAAACACACACACACACACACACACACATCCCACATACATATTCTCATACACGAATCCCTCCACCCCATCCTACCCCATCCCACCCTAAAATTGCTCTTAGTCTTGGGTTGAACTACTCTTGAGAAGACTTTAAAAGGAAAGCTCTTGTAGAGATTCTACTGCACTTTGGGATTGAAAGGACACTAAGATTCATTTCCTCAATTTCTTATTCTGAAATAATTTTATATTTACAGAAAAGTTGCAAAGATAGTACAGAGAGCTTTTATACACCTCTCGCATAGTTTCTCCTAATGTTTACATTGAACATAGCCATAGGACATTTCTTAAAACTCAGTGGAAACATGGCCAGAGATGTAAGGTCTTCTGGACCCCATCAAATAACACCATGTACTAATGTGTGTGCTCACCACTAACACCAAAGCCTCCCACCCTTGATGAGAAAGTCAACATCACAGGAAGCTCCAGCAATGAGAAAACCAGTGATCACAGGGGGCATGAATACCCCAAAGTCCAAATGTTTAGGACAATGAACTAGACACTAGTTGGCCAACCAAAGGCAGTTTTTAGATCCTGTCTTTTATGGACAAGACACAATCACTATTCATCATTTTCTAAGTACAATCCTTTCCTGGAAGATATTGCAGTATTATTCAAAATGTGCCAAAATGGGCAGGAGATCCCAAGAGTAATTGTGAGTTATGAGGTCATGGGGACCTCATTGCAAACTATTTGCAAAACTTAATTGGGGTAATAAATAAACTAAGCATGTAAATTAGATTGAAGACTACAATGTGAATTAGAAGGAGGCCATTAGCCTGCCTAGTCAAAATGCCTTCTTTCTGTTATGTAATATTTGCTGAGTTGAACTGTTAATCAGGGGAGTATTAAATTCAGATATCCTAAAATTTCACAAGTAAAATAACTTGGAAATAAAACCATTTTATGAGATCCTTTCTGGATAAGGGTGTGAACTTTATTTTTTATGATTAGGTACTTAGGTACTTTTCAAATAGAGAATAGTCTGGCAATCGCAGCTGAACGTACCTCTTCCCTGGGGTGCAAAGTCATCTTAGCTAGCGTACTTAGAAGCAAATGAAGAAGAAAAAGAAAAAATGGAAGCTCAGAAAGAAACCATCCCAATCGATAAAAACAAACAGATCTGTAGGCTGAAAATGGGACTGTCACCTGCTCCTTTTTTTTTTTTTTTAAACCAAATGGTCAAAAATAACTTCAGGCCTGACTTTTCTCTTTCATATACCTGAAGAATGAGTACAGGGGCTCCTGGAGGTAAATATAAATATAAAAAAGAGAAGAAACCAAAAGCCCAAACACTGCATCTAATCATCCTGCCTAAGTCAAGTCTTACAGCGGCTTTTTTTTTTTTTTTTTAAGCAGTTGATTGAATGAATACAAATGCCTCTCTGTTGTCACTTGGGATGCCACTTGATATATCCCATTTTCTAGACTCTAATTATTCCATTTGTAGACATGAATGCCATTTAGATGTGAGCTAATTCAGCATGGTAACTCAATTAGATTTGTACCGACTTGGATTTATGAAACATCAATGGGTTCTTGGTGAGACCAATGGGACTGCGGGTGATTCATCCCCAAGTCTCACCGACACAGCCTCTCAGGAGCTCAATTAAACATGCCAGCCATGAGGATGTTTTTTAACTGGAATGGTTCACAGTTAAAATAAAAAAGATTTCTGTGTTGCTTGGTGTACAGGGCCCAGCAGAAAAGAAAGACCTGTAACCACAGGGACCAAAGTTTTCCTGTGGGCTACATGTCCTCTCCATCTCCACTAGCTGGCCTCAAAGCACCCGTGTGGCCACATTCAGTCATTGACCTGTGTGTCAAAGGCCAGGGAGCTTCACAAGTGCTCACATCCAAGGGTACTCAATAAGTGTTGGTTGAACTAAATTGCTAAATTCATCTTAGCGCCTCTGCATCTTGATTCTGAGAGCTGAAAGACCCATGCTGAATACCAAATCAAGAGTTATAAAAACAGGAGAAATCTCCAAGTGATGAAAATTACATTAACTGTATCTTCAGCCTAAAAATGTGCCCAATGATAAGAAAATGGGGGAAAGGATTTAAGCCAGGACCATCCCTGAACGATGGCTTATAAAAATTGTTCTGAAAAGAAATAATATTACCATGTAACTCTGTGCCAGGATCAGGGATGCAGGCATGCTCCTGCCAAGTAGAACACCTCTTCCTGGCAGAGATTTACCTCTTCACTGTGGGAGGGTTTGATGATTAAAGAATTCACTGGTCCTCAACCTGGACTTGGCACAGGGGACCTAGTTAGAAATGGAGGAATTCGTGCAACAACCTAATAACGCAAACTCCCTTTGTCAATGATGAAACACTTTGGAAATGTCTGTTATTGTTTTCCTGAATAAAGTCTTAGATAAGAAAGACACTGTATTTGTTTTTCCAAGACCTGAATGAGGGGCAACACAAAGGCAGAGAGATTCAATTTTATTAAACCTCTCTTTTTTGCCCACTCTCAATTTAATACCTAGTATGTGTTTCTATTGTGAGATATTATTGGTGATTATGATGATTATTAGTTGAAGGATAGTGTAGAAGAGGCAATTATAGTAGTCTTAAGTGGTAAGCAATTAGCAGTAATGGTAGTAAATACTAAGAAATAGTAGTAGTCACAGTAGTGATACTTGGTCAAGAATTATAGGTAGCATTTGTCCTGCATGTTATAATTTTCAAAATTATAACTGTATTCACCAATTGAATCATTTCATCTCACAATGCTTTTGCAGAGCAGATGTCATTTCCTCCAATCTACTGCTGAGGTTGTGTGGTTTGTCTAAGGTCATGCAGTTAAAAATCCGTGAGGCTGGTATTTCATCCTTTAAGTTCTTTGCATGTGGTGTAGCAGAAAAAGCGTGGGTTTTAAATCAGAAAATATTGTCTTACTTTCTAGCTTTATCATGTTGACTCTTTTTAAAAGTGTTGATGGATTAGGTGCCATTCTTAAGTTTGAGATGGATAAAGGTACCCAAATTTGGTCCCTGAAACTATTCTGTGAGACCGTCTGATGATACTGGCACAACATCTGAAGGCTAGAGCACCAAATGGGATTGATGCTATGCAGAGAAAGCACTTCTTCAAGCCTATGCACCTGTATTCCTTTCATCTCTAGGGAGCCTTGGATTAAACTGGAAACAAAGGTTAGGACTCCCTCTTTTCATGTCTGGTGCAACCCTTTTCTTGCTTTCAACTCCCCAAAGCAATGGTCTCTGCAAAGATTTTTGGAGAAACACCTGAAAGAAAAAGACCATGGGTTTACTTGTATTCTGCCCCAATTGTAATATGTGTAATTCACTACACTGTTGCTGTGTCCTCCTAGCACAAGCAACTCACCCTGGCTCATTTTTATTCCTGGAAATGCCACCTGGGCTAGCAGAGGAGAATATTAGAAGGAGCACAGTGCTGGGAGTCTGAGAAGCTGAGCCTCCCCATCCTGTCCTGTCACCAACCTCTGTGGATCCAGTTCTGCCACCCACTGGCTAGGCAGCCTTGGGGAATTCACCTGCCTCCTCCAGTCTGTTTTCTCCAATTATCCTCATAGTCCTCAAAACCTTTTATAAGCATTACAAAAAATTATTATTTGTAGAGAGATTTGGAAACCATGTAACCTATGCTTCCTGTACTTTTTCCAAGGGACACTGTACCATAATATGCTATGTCTTAAAAAAAAAAAAAAAGTCCTGCCTGGCATGGTGGTACATGCCTGTAATCCCAGCAGCTTGGGAGGCTGAAGCAGAAGGATCACAAGTTCAAAGCCAGCTTCAGCAATTTAACAAGACCCTAACAATTTAACAAGACCCTGTCTCAAAATTTTTAAAAATAAAAAAAGTACTGGGATGAAGCTCAGTTGTTAAGTGTCCCTGGATTCAATCCCTTGTACCTATTCCCCAGAAAATACTCTTTAAATGCCACATTTTAGTGCTCACCACAGGGTACTTTGGCATATTAAAGAATCTAAGAAAGCCTAAGAAATTAACTCTGTGGAAATCTGTTTAACACAATGTTTTACGACCTATTTGACCACAGAACTCATCTTTCATTTAATACTTAATACCATGCTGTGCTACAGTCAGTACTAAAGAGCGAATCATCATGACTCAGTCTCATGTCTGTGTTGGGCAGCCCCCACCCCCCATCCACCTCAGCTTTCTTCTGTGTTCCCAGCTTTCTTAAATGTTAGCAGAGGTGATGACCAGCAGCCCAAGACTTTTATGCTGCAGCTTGAGAAGTCAGGAAAATGAGCATTTTCTTCCCAAATATTCTAGAAATAGTACAGATCTCATTGACACATCTTGAGTCATAGGCCCAATCTCGAAGGTACCCCTTAGGGCTACCGGAATGAAT